ACTAAACATTTTATATAGTACAATATGAACAAAAAGTATATTTTTAAACATTTGTATTCAGAAAACATAATTAATTTCTTAAAATTGCAACTTGTATGAAAATTTTTTCGATAAAATGTAAATAGTTGTAATCCTTAGATTAGCTTTTGTAAAAAAAAGGTTTTGTAGTGGATTGTCATTTGAAAAAATAAAAATTTTTCAAAACTCAAAAACAAAATAAAAATCTGAAAACTCGATTCTTGAGAAGTTTTTTAATCATTTTTTAGTCTTCTTAAAAAATAAATAGTTTTGGAATAAAACGTTTGGTTCTCTACTTTCTGTTCACCTGGTATATAAAAAAAATTGAACAAAGTGGTTTATGATTTTGATATTAAGTTGATAACATTGAAAAACGCAGAGATAGAAGATGAGTGACAAGTGTCATTCATAATAAAATCAAGTTGCATGGTATCAATAAAAAAATACGTTAACAATCTTATTAAATGTAAACAAAATAAATCAAAAAATAAATTAATCACACTAAATTTGATGTTTTTCTGATTTATTTATACGTAATTATTATTGTCATTTCTGATTAAAAATTTGAAAAAATTATTGCAATATTTTTTTTTCATTTGCTGTTTTGTGACATTATTTTATTTTACACTATGGAACTAAGGGCCAGTTTTATAATCGAATTAAAGAGACTTAATTAGTGTTGATTTAGAATGTGAAATTTTTGTCAACAAATCCGTAGAAATCAACACATTCTAAACAACATTTAGTTAAAGCTCTTTTTAATACCATTATGAAACTGGGACTAATTTTTTTTTCAATTTTGATAATTTCTAGTAAAAGTGAAACAAACATATTACACATGTCTGTAACAAAAAAACTAAAATCTCCCAGATTATGAAGAAAAAAATATGGGTTCCAATTTTGAATTAGAAAGTTGAATATAGCCCAAAATTCACTATTGTCATTCAGTTTTTTAATTTTTGAAATAGGGTTAGAGATAATAATTCTACAGCGATTGCCGTTTTTTAAAAATCACCTTGTATGAATTTCGAAAAAAGTTTGAAAGTTATTAATGACATCGTTGTGACTTAACGACAGTTTTTATATTTGTTCTGTTTTATCAACTTTTATCAATTATTATTTAATCGTACAAAATGTTGATTTTTATCTATTAATTATAAGACCACAAAAATTATATACGATTCATAGGTAGATAAAAATTGAAATTGTAATTTTTAGGCAACTGTAATTTTTGAGATTACAGTTGAAACTTTTGACCCACGTTGGTGTCTTATTTTTTTAATATTTTGAAATAGTCCAGAATGTCCTAATGTCATTATGGTCTATTACAATTTACTTAAAATGCGTGGCGGTTTTTCTTTCTTTTCTATTAAAATTTCTGGAATAAATATTGTATTCAACTGTGTTTATCATTTGTTTTAGACAATGTTGGATAAGGAAAAGAAGCGTTTCCACGAGATGGCCGAGAACGATAAGAAGCGTTACGACGACGAAATGAAAAACTACACTCCTCCCAAAGGAGAAAAACAACGTGGCAAGAAACGAAAGCAAATCAAAGATCCTAATGCTCCCAAACGTTCATTGTAAGTAACTTTAAAAGTTTTTTTGGCACAGTTTGATCAATCGGTAACCTTGATGGCTACTCGGTTATAATCCTGTGCTAAATAATGCAAGAAAATGAGCGAAACGATTTATTTCCGACGAAACAAATCGATATACATTTTCTAACATTTCCAATTATTAAATTTGTGACTCTAATTGGGTGTTTTTTTGTGTTAAAGGTCGGCATTTTTCTGGTTCAGCAACGACGAACGCGCCAAAGTTAAAAGTCAAAATCCCGAATATGGCGTTGGTGATATTGCGAAAGAGTTGGGGAGAAGATGGGCCGATGCCGAGCCTGAAATGAAGAGCAAATACGAGGCTTTGGCTGATAAGGACAAGGCCCGCTATGAGAAGGTATTTTTTTCGAATTTTAGTTAAAATTAAATTAAATTTTGTGGTTTATTAGGAAATGACTGCATACAAGAAGAAGAACATGCAACAGCAAGCACCGCCGCAACCTGCTCCACAGGCCCTCCCAGTACCTGATAACGAGGAAGAAAATGATGATGATGAAGAAATCGAAGAGGATGAAGACGAGTAAGCGAATCGCAGCGGCGATTCGACATTTTTTCATTACCTCGTCATTAAAAAGTAATCGCCTTCATTCCTTAAATGTACATAATGCATATTAGCAGTGTCCTCGTGTTCTCATTTACTATTATAATGATTATTTTTTTAAATTACCTGCGTCTGAGAGAGTACTTACATGCAAACTGAACTGTATGAGTGATCAAATAGCGAAAGTGCTCCATTTTCTTTCTCATAGTCGCCGTGTAAAGTGTTTATTGTAACTTTTCGTTTTAGATTTCTGTAATGCGTTGGTTAATTATTATTACCTCAATAAGTGACGCAACGGGTTCAAAATAAATTCAATCAGCAGCGACAAACAATTGGTTTTTCTATTGACACCCAATACCACTTACGTACCGAAAAATCGTTTGTTGGCTGCCCTGTTAATTTATTTATGCTGTAGTTTTTAAGTTGTAAGTATCTCTAGTATGAAATGAAACCACTACCCTGTAATTATAAGGCAGAGCAGAATATTTTTATTATCATTTGACTTGTTAATATAGTTATGTGTTGATAACCAAAGTGCAGTGTTGTACGCTGTTTCGACTGCCCCAAATGTACATTACAATGGACAATATTAAGACAAGTTTGCGTCCTTTCCGTTTGTTTCTTTGGAAGGCAGTTTTCGTCATTTTTAAACCTGTTGATAATTTCTCAATTCCCGTCACCCTAACAAAGGGAATGCAAAATGTGACGTGAAATGTTCAAATAGTTGTATTATTTTACTTGTGTTAAGGAAAATTCATGGCGGAATCCATTAAATGGAAGCATTTCACCTCTCATTATTATTATTGATAAATTGCTCTGTGTTATTTTAGGGAGAGAAATAGAAAAGTGTTTGTTTTTTATATCTAATAGGAATAACTAAAAAAATAATAAAATTTTGATTAAAAATGTAATTGTTTATTTTTATTTGATCTAATACAATTGTGATACTGTGACAAGCTTTACTTGACATGCCATCCATCCTCCTGTTCCTTCATCAAAGAATATTTTTATGAAACCTTTGGTACATTCAAATCTCCCGCCGTCGTGACTTTAACCACAAAAAATGAGCGCTAGACCGAATTAGATTTTTTATTTATTTTGATTTTCAAATTTCGATGATTAATCGAAAACTAATTATTTGGCTTAAATTTTTTACTTGACATGTCATCTTACACATCCTGTTTCTTCACTTTTGCCAATAAATAAACATGTGATAAAACAAAAACCTACATGAAGAAACATAGACATAAAATATAAGAAAAGTGATGAAATTAATACAGTGTGTTTGGTAAAGCAACAGCTTACACTGATTTAGAGTCAAATTGAAAAAAAAACTTTTCGGTGCATTCAAATCTCCCGCCGTCGTGGCCTTAACCACAATAAAACAAATGGGGCTCCAAATCAAATTAATTTTTGTAATTTATTTGGATTAATTTTCGAATTTCGGTGCTGTGATCAAAGAATTAATCAAAGACTGATTATTTAGCTTTAATTTCGTGGTTTTCCTCGGAAAACGCGTCGTTGCACCACCGATCTAGCCACCACTGGCTCAGTTAGCAACAAACAAAAGAATGCGTTTTTCTTTTAGGTTTTTCGCACGACGCTGAGCTTTTTGGCCTCTTTTGCGGCTTATTTCTTTTCATTTTTGAAAAAATTAGGTGAGTGAGACGTTCATTTAATAAATAGGCTTAGTTGACTTTCGATTTCGAATTGTGTGGTGACATATTGTTGCTGGTTGTGTTTTCCAACCTCACATTATCGCCCTTAAAAACGGCGTGAATAAGGGGCAAAATCCCCTGTGGAGGTTTCCCGGGTCTGCGGATATTTGACACATCCCCACCAGCACTCAATAACCCATTGCCCTTGCGCTTAAAGACGCAAGACGCGCCATTTGCTAAACATTTGCTCGTTATGGCATTGGTAAGTTTTGCGAAAATTTTGTGGCGATTTTTGCGCAATTCGGGCCGAAAAGTCGCCAAATAGCAGTAAGCGTTGCTAGTTTGCGGTTGTGGTGTCAAGGGGGCTCAGTGCATCACCGCCATCTTTGTTTGCAGCAGCCCCTGAGTGTGTGATTTATTATTGTTTTCAGTTACACTACCCACGAGATTAAGTTTTCGTTACTAAAGGCCTACAAAGGAACAACATGATGTGTACGAACGCTTCAGAGGAATTTTCCGACTCCAAGGAACTAACTGAGAAATCTGATGAGTTTGGGGAACTTGTGATCTTTGAAGGAAGCGCCAAAATGGAGCCTTCGGAAGCCTTGGAGGACGGCTTATTGGCCGATCCTGACAAATGCGGCATGTGTGGGTAAGTCTTCCACGGGGATTTTTAAAAGGGGGCTCATACTTGTTTTCATAGTGGACCACTTGTGGTGTCTCGAATGCTGCACTGTTTGCACTCCTTCTGCGAAGAGTGTCTCGATAAGAAACTGGTGGGAGAAGGGGGCGACGCTGGCAGTCCTGAAGCCTCGATTGAGTGCCCCACTTGTGGACATCACACCAAGGTAAATGGTCGATTGCTTACTCCTTTGTAATTTGAGACTGTCTGCGTATTATGCGAATTAAACAAGCAGCAAATTTTTGTTAATTTTTATGTATACAGGGTGCACCAGAACTCGCACCCTATAGAAAAATGCGATGTAAGGTACGATACCAGGAACATGTTAAAAAATTCTATCTATAAGAATTTCGAAGTTATGAGAGTTTAAATTTTGCACTTTGACTATTTATTTCTGTTGGAAAAATAATTTTTTCAATTTTTTTTTGCTACAGGCTATTATAAGAGGAAACAAGAAAGCTGTATCCTAAATTGTAACTCTGTTTAATGTTATTTGTGGCTTTTATTGGCAAAATGTTTGTCCCTTTACTAAATAATTATATAAAAAAAAACATATACAAGATCATTAGTATCATTAAATAGACAAAAAAATGTCAAATGTCAAATAATAAATCTCAAAATTTTTTCCACGTTCCTGGTATCTTATCTTACTTGAAATTTTTCTCTGGGACGCGAGTTCTGACACACTCTGTATACAAGGTCACCAGTATCAGCGTTTTGGTACGTTTTTAAGATAGAATCCAAAATATTTTGAAAAAGTTTGTTAATACTACTTCAAAATTGAAAATAAAATCGTGTTATTTTGGCTTCTCCGCGTGTTTTGAGCCAAAACGAGCTTTTTTCGAAACATTTTGCTTAAGCTATCTGAAAAATTAACAAATAGACCGAAATTGATACTATTTCATCATGTTTCGCTTGATTTTATTTTTGAATATTTATAACAAAAATAATTTCAAATCTTCAAATCGATGTTAGTTTTTTTGTTTTATTTGATTTTACAAATTTTAAGCAAAATTGTTTCTAATATAAGCAAAAACCACAAAATTTGGTAAAAAAAATTATTATTATGATCACTTTTAAACCTTTGAACTAAATTTTTATTTATTTTTTTTATGAGATTTTTCAAAATTAAACCAAAAAGTCACCAAGTTGAGTTGAAAATTATATTCGTTTTGCTTTCTTCCAACGTTTAAGTACGTTTTTTGAACTCAAAAAATGTTTTATTGTAAATTCGGTAACTTTTTTTTCTGGGTTTTATATTCAATCGATTTGGCTCAATTTTAAGTTGGGAATCAACCTAAATCGAACCAAATATAGGCTTTAATAAGAGTTTTCTTCTAAAATAAAGCAATTTGAGCTATTTTCAATTCAATTTTGCTCGATTTTAATACAGAATTAATTCAAAACTAATGTATTTTATAAAAAGAACTGCTTCAATCCCAATATTAACATAAATAAAGCAATTTGTGATATTTTCAAACGATTTGGCTCAATTTTGAGTTGGGAATCAACCTAAATCAAAGTATTTCCACCAAATACTGGCTTTAATAAGAGTTTTCATCCAAAATTAAGCAATTTGAGCTATTTTCAATCCAATTTTGCTCTATTTTAATATAGAAATAATTCGAAATTAATGTAAATATAATTGCTTCAATCATAATTTTAGGCTGAAATAAGGCAATTTGTGATATGTTCAATCGATTTGGCTCAATTTTAAGTTGGGAATCAACCTAAATCAAACCAAATACAGGCTTTAATAAGAGTTTTCTTCTAAAATAAAGCAATTTGAGCTATTTTCAATTCAATTTTGCTCGATTTTAATACAGAATTAATTCAAAACTAATGTATTCTATAAATATAATTGCATCAATCTTAATTTTAGGCTGAAATAAATTTCTGATAATTTCAATCGATTTGGCACTTATCACTTTTAAACCTTTGAGTACGTTTTTGAACTAAATTTTTATTTTTTTTATGACATTTTTCAAAATCAAACCAAAAAGTCACCAAGTTGATATTTTATTGTAAATTCGGTAACTTTTTTTTCTGGGTTACAAAACCGAATTTAAACTTATGTTTTGCCACATTTATATTTATTTCTCTAAATTTTCCTTAAAAAATTAGACAAACATGAGTTAAAACCACAAAATTTGGTTAACAGTGTTGTTATTAGATTATCTTTTTTAAGTTTTTAAGCACGTTTTTGTACTAAATTTTCAGTTTGTTGTGAGATTTAGCTAAAACAAACCAACAAATCACCAAAGTATTTTTGCTTTTTTGCGTTTTTTCGCTGAAAACTTGCGGTACTCTCTTAAAAAATCATTAAAATGTTATAATTTTGAGTTACAAAACTGAATTGAATTTTATTTTGCTACATGTGATTAATTCATTTGCTAAATAGATCCCTTTGTTTTTTGGTTGAGATTGCTTTAACAAAACACAAAATTTGAACGTTTACCCACTATAATATACAGGGTGCGTCAGAACATGGAAAAAATGTTAAAAAAAATTATAAGAATTTCGAAGTTATGAAGTTATTGCACTTTGACTTTATTTTTTTAATTGTTTTTGCTACAGGCTATTAGAAGAGGAAACAAATTGTAACTCGGTTTCATGTTATTTTGTGGGTTTTATTGCCAAAATAGACATAAAAAAATGTCAAATGTCAAAAAATAAATGTCAAAATTTTTTGAGAGATCTGTACAGGTGTCCCAGCCCATTATAACATTATAAGTCTATTATAACACCTTTAAACGTTAAATTTTTTAAAATGTGTCTACAAAATTCATAACGTTAACTTTTTACCAAATATAAGGTGTTTGGAAAATAAGTTTATTTTTTAATGAAACACTGTTTTTTGCATTTTGCTTCTAAACTAAATTTTCGAATTTCTTGCCAAATTGTTATTTTTTGTTGGTGTGTAGGTTGGGATGAGAAAGATGGCCGCTCTTCCTCTCGACGTGACCAAGACCAACATTTCGGACGTGTCAAATGCGTCAAGTTTGCATTGCACCTCATGCACTGCCAAAGAGTTGGCGAAATCGCGTTGCAACACCTGTCATAATCTCTTGTGCAACCACTGTGATTCAGCGCATCATTATATGCGTTGTTTTGAATCGCATCAAGTGGTGGCCTTGGAAGATATGCGCAAAGATGGTGTCAAGATAACCATTCATAAGCCGTTGGAATGCGATATTCACCACGGGGAGAATTTAATCTATTACTGTAACAGTTGCAGTTCGACGGCTTGCAGTGAATGCGTTAAAAATGAGCACAAAGGTGCAGAGCATCATGTCGAAGGTATAGCCGATTCCGAAATGAGAGTTAGACAAGAGATGAAGGCATTGTTGTCTGAAAGCAAAAACAAAATCGATGAGCTGATGAAACTGTCGACTGGATTGGATAGTAGTTTGCAGGAGTTGGCGAATCAGCGGTCGACAGCACGTGACCTCATCAATGAATCGTATCAGAGTTACAAGGCGATTTTGGAGAAATGTAGAGATGAAGCGTTGGCCAAACTGAACGAGCTTTATCACGAAAGGGAGTTGATAATAATGAAAGAAAACGACGAAGTTGGAAAAACTATCGGTAATTTCGAAGATGCAAGATCTTACACTTCGCGTCTTTTGGAAATTTCTACCGTTCCTGAAATAATGTACCTGAGAAAAACAGTTGCTGATCGTCTAATGGAACTCAACAACAATACGCCGAAATTCAACGAGACATTTCACGTTGAATTTCGCACCGATTTTGGGGCTTTCGAAACGATGGTCAAGGAGCATTTTGGTGATTTTCGTACGGAAAAATCGAGAGAACCGAGTCCAATGACGGCACTAACACCATTGGCTATCACCCAGCCGCTTACCAATGGTTGCAATGCTTCAATCACCAATAGCAGTCCGATTTCTTTACCCACTTCGATGCAGTCGTCATTTGACGGAGATGTCAGCGGCAACATGCAGAATTTCGCTTTGGCGCAGAGTCCACCTTTGCCTCAGGTGAATAAAGCCGCTGCTGCCGCCTCCGGTATGGCGGGCTTTTCTAGTATTGCTGAATATAATATTGCTCAGTTGGCGACACTGGCTGAGACTTCGAATAGTGCGGCGACTTCACCCACGCCACCCTTTAATCTGGCCGATATACTCACCAGCGACACTGCCTACAAGAATCTTGCTTCACTTGCCAAGCTCGGACTGAACGCGGGTAAGATTTTTTCTTTTTTCATTTCAAAGAAATTCACACAAATTCGATTTTTAAAATGTGAGATGTGAAACATGTGTTTTTGATATAGATAATCCGATTACCAACGGGACGATGATAGTCCGTTCTACATCGCCCGCATCTCTCAACTTGACCAACAGTTTAATCAATGGATTTAGTGGAGTTTCATCCTCTACATCTCCTTTGTTGTCCACTCCTGATGACATTATGTCTGATCCCATGTCAAATATTCTTCCAGCACCTACTCCAAATCCTAATGGTACCCACACCCGTTCAAATAAAGTCAGTCCTATGCAAATCCGCAACAAATTTGGTCAACTTGGTCCTAATAAAGGGCAGTTCAACTCACCCCATGGTTTCTGCCTTGGTCTAGAAGAAGATATCATTGTTGCCGACACAAATAATCATCGCATACAAGTAATTGTGGTAATTTCTGAATGATTATTGTTTAATTGTCATTTTGTGTAGATATTTGACAAGTCTGGAGGTTTCAAATTTCAATTTGGAACTTCAGGTAAGGATGAGGGACAGTTGTGGTATCCGAGGAAAGTGGCAGTGATGCGCACCACTGGAAAATATGTCGTATGCGATCGCGGAAATGAACGTTCTCGTATGCAAATTTTTACGAAAAACGGTCATTTTTTGAAGAAGATTGCCATCAGATATATTGATATTGTAGCAGGGCTTGCGGTGACTGGACATGGGGAGATTGTTGCTGTTGATAGTGTCAGTCCGACTGTATTTATTATCAGCGAGAGTGGTGAACTGATACGTTGGTTCGATTGTAGCGATTTTATGAGAGAACCTTCCGATATTGCTATTCATGGTAATTATTTCAAAAATTTTTGTGTATGTAAAATTGAGTTTTGTGTTTCTTTAGGAAAAGAATTTTATGTTTGCGACTTCAAGGGTCACAACGTGGTTGTTTTCAGCGATGAGGGGCATTTTTTGAGACGAATTGGTTGCGAAAGTATTACCAATTTTCCAAATGGTATTGATATCTCTGATGCTGGGGATGTCTTAATTGGTGATTCGCATGGAAATCGTTTCCACGTTGCTGTATTTTCACGCGATGGGTCTCTCATTTCTGAATTTGAATGCCCATATGTTAAGGTAAGGTAGTGTTTAAGAAAAATAAATTGAGATTTTACAAGATTTTGGTTTAGGTGTCTCGTTGCTGCGGCTTGAAGATCACCTCCGAGGGTTATGTCGTGACTTTGGCCAAGAACAACCATCATGTTCTCGTGTTGAACACGCTGTACATCCTGTAGAGTCCCAAAGCAAGTAGTTTTGATCTCGCACTGTACACAGTACTGAACTGATTTTTAATTTTTATTTTGTAGTCTTATTTTTTTTTTCTTTTTTGAAACTATATATTATTTTAGAGAGAGGAAAAAAGAAAATTATTTTCGAACTTATTAATTACAAATTGAACGCATTTGTTAGATTTAGATAAATTATCCAAAGCATTATTTTAAATACGTATTTGTGCATACTTAGAAACTCGGTTAATTATTTTGTTTTTAATTAAATAATTTTATTTTGGACGTTTCCAAATTTTTTAGCAGCAGGCATAATATGGTTCCTATTATTAAAAAAAGAAAGAAAAAAGAAATCGTTTATTTTACGGTGTCAATTAGTATTGATCGCTTAACTTAGTTTATTTGTTTGGAAGCTGAACGTGCCAACTTTTAAAACGTTTTATTTCTTTTCTGTCGTAGCACAAGAAAAAATGCTTCGTTGTTTCGTTATTTTTATTAATGTTATTATTTTATATTTTTATTATTTTTTTTTTTTTGAATGGATGAAAATTTTATGAATGAGTCGTTTATTTCTCTATCTCTCAATACTTACATACTCAGGTTGGTTAGCGTTTTCAGTGCCATGTAGGTTAAGTCCTAATATAGAAAAAGGAAAAAAGCAAAAAAGCCTAACTGCAGCGAGCTTCGTTCGATGTGTTTTGTTTTTCTATACTTGCCGATTCCATTTTTTTGAGAGAGAGCGCGAGCGTGCGTGAGTTTCTAATCATTATTATACATATGAATTAGTTTTTTAGTTTTATTGATTTTTTATTTTTTCCTGAAACTCCGTCGTCTTTTAATCGACGGTTAAACCATGCCTGTGATAATAGTATCTTCAGGATAAGTTGTGACCTTAGTCTCTCGTTGTTATTTTGTGTGCTGCGCTGCCGCTCGCTTGTTTTTCAGCGCGCGGTCTCGCGTCTGCTCACAAGTCGTTTTTAAAATTATATGTATACATAAAAAATAATGAAGAAAAAAAACGCAAAAAAAATATAAAAACGAAAAAACTCCACGAAAACAATAAAACAACTCGAATTTTAAGGCAGATTGTTTATGTATTAAAGTAATCGTATCTTATATACACTGTTTAACGTCCATCTTAGGGAAACTGTCTCGAGGCGTGACCAAAAAATATAAATTATTTCGAAAAAAATATTATTTTAAGACCTGATGTTTATTTTGTGCAAATTTGTTGAGTTTTGTTGTTATATTTTTTATTTTTGTCTAACGAAAATGTTTTTATTAACACGGACAGTTTCTCTGTGAGGGCATTGTTCTTCAACTTGAATGTGATGTCAATAATCTCACAAGAATAATACCAGTGGTTATTATTGAATACAATTTTACTTTTTCCGTCAATTGGAGTAGTTTTGTGTTTTTATTTATTTTTTACCAAATATTTACACCGTCATATGCAAGTAATCACGTGTTGTTTTATTTTTTGAGTTGATTAGTACTGCTGTAGTGATACTTTGTATGGCATTTGCTCACGTCATTGGATTCGATCCGTTTCACTTTCGAAGCGATTCGAGGGAGAGACGGATGTGGAATTTTAACTATATTTACATTATATATCAAAAAGAGGGAATGTGAAGAAATTTCGGTTTTAAATTAAACATTTAATATATTATCAATGTGATAGATTTTTTGATGATTTTTACAATCACAGTCTTAGTGTATGTACCAAGTGTTTTTTAGATACTCGTATACCAGTAATTTTGCCATATAATATATTATACATGACTTAAGGATGAAAGAAGAAACAAGCTGATTCTATTTTGTTTCTCGGTTGAGTATCGTATACATATATTATATATTTACATACAAAAATATGAATATTTATATTATCTATGAAACATATGTACGAGGTCACACGACGTTGTCTTGCGTCGCGTGGTGTTCGCTAAATATTATCTCAAAGAATATTCACTAGCAATAAGTATTTTCAGTCAGTATTGGAGTGAGGAAATAATCATTCCATCGGCAGACATGAATTAGGTGCTGCAAACAGTGTTTTATTTTATCGTATTATTTTCAGTCTTTTGTAGTGGTAGGCTAGGTTTAAGTTTAACTGGAGAATATATAAGGGAGACACATTTCGCTGTTTTTAAACTCCGCTTTGCCGATCGTTACTTAATAAATATCTCGATGTAGGCGTTAAATTCTGTCAGCTCTTGAACAATCACACTATTTCAGACCATAATTACATGTAACGTGGTTGTGAGCTTTTTCTATTCTATTTTATCAATGTTTTCGAATATACAATATATTGAGCAGTGTGGAAGATTTTTTGAGTTGAAGTTTGAGTCGCCCTTAGTGCTATGAAACACAATTTATATTAATAGTCATTTTAAAGTACAAATGTTTAGTATGGATGGATGACATATCACGATTTTAATAATCACACATGAGTACACAAGCCGCCGACTCGTTGTTGACACCAATTCTTGTGTTGGCCGGTAGATGGGAGTGAAACAGCAACGACGGTGAACATTTTAATGCCTGTATTGCTGGAATGTTTAATTTTCACGCCGCGCTCGTGTGTTCATCGTCGTTGTTTCTTTTGTTTTAACAATGAACGAATAAATTCACTGTGTCTTAGTCCTGTCATATTAAACGAATTAAGCTGAAAATGAGAAAAATGTATACATTTTTGAAAATAATATTAATTGTTATCTCTTTCCAAAGATTTTTTTAGTGATGTAAGGTAATAACAATGAATTTAATCGCTAAGCTCTGCATTCTGCTAGACTATAATAGAGGTAATATCAGATGTTTACAGTGTTTGTTCCCTATAATTAATGTAGGTGAAAGGTGGTCGTTTATTTAGATATTCGGCGTCGTTTTACATTTTGCAGACAGGAGGGAGAGCCTATGCTTAATAATAATTATAAATATTAAATAATAATTCGAATTTCATTGTAGATGTCGACAAGATCTTCGTGATGTTTGGTTGGTTTGATAAGATTTTGAGCAAAATTTATAAAGCAGCAGTTCTCTATTACCTGCCTCGTTTTTAATAAATTAAACAAATCAGTTGAGCTGTGGCATTTAAGAAGTTTTTGATAGAACTATTTTTGATGTGAACGAATCGCACAACGTGGAATTATTTAATTCAAGATTACGTTCGTGCGGTTCGTATATTCTGTAACAATCAACTGTCAAAAAATACAAAAAAAAATATGACCGATTTCTAGCGGTCTATGTGTACCTATATTGTAATTAATAGCACTCTTGTTTCTCTGCTTAACCTTCCACTAATGATAATAAAAGAAAGTTCATCGTAAATTCAGAGTAGCACATCGTAAAATAAAGAGTAATAATGTTGCTTTGTCCCGTTTACAATCGATACTTATACCGCATATACACTTTTATCTTATTGTAATATTATATGATGTGTATTATATTCCAAGTGATTTTGTAGTCGTTTATGGACATTTGATATAGAATATTTTCCATTATTCTAAAATTCATGCCTCTGAACAGTCTGTACTAAAATTTATTATATTATATTTGTTGCACTCTATGGTTATTCAGGGTTACAAGAGCTATGTGAGCTCGTATTTTTGGAACTGTTTTTTATTTAAATTGTACTGAGGTTGTTTTTAATTTGTAAGTTATATTATTGGTTTTTGAATAAATATAATCCAAGAAGTTGACCCCAATTCTTTCCAAAAACCACAAACTTAACTATTTTAGGAAACAAGAAGGAAATGGTTTTGAGACAAAGTAAAGCTGTAAGGAAACATGGATTCTGAGAGAAAACTCAAGGAGCACGAAGTCTGTCAATTTTTAATGGCATGACGGTGAGGAAGAAAAAAAAAGTTAAAGATTTTTCTTTACTTTGCGTCTTTAATGATTATTAAAACACTAAAAACAGTGTTTTAATGAAGGCTGTTAAAATACTGCTTTTGGAAACTTTTTTTGCCATGTTGGCAGTATCATTTCTATTTTATTTTTTATTTCTATTGAAAATTTTTCCTTATTATACCGGGTGATTTTTTCTAAAACGAGCCACCCTGGAAATCTTAGAAAAATTAACAAAAATTAGAAAATCCCAAAGGGGTAGGTACTATAAATTTAAAAAGTATACGTACTAAAAAGGTGTCCTCCTGTAAATAAAAATTGACCTGCTTCGGGATTTTCTAGTTTTTGTTTATTTTTCTGAGATATCCAGGGTGGCTCGTTTTTTACAATTTATTTTTTACGTTTTATAGTTTGCAAAAGTGACAATTTTACAGACAATAACTATCAGAAATACCAACTATACCTTTTTCAAGTGTAATTCAGAAACCATCACATGTAATTCAGATTAGTTAATTTAGTTTCAGAAAGTGTAAATTGTAATTTAGATTAGTCAATTATCTTTCAGAAAGTGTTAATTGTAATTCAGAAGAGTAAAATGAGTTTCAGAAAACATAAGGTGTAATTAAGATTTCATAAAGCATAAATTGGAATTCAGATTAATCAATTGTATTTCAGAAAGTATTAATTGTAATTTAGAAACTATTACATGTAATTCAAAACAATAAATTCAATTTCATGTTACATGTAATCCAGAAAATATCAATTGTAATTCAGATGAGTAACTTACTGTTATCTCAAAGTAAAGTTTACACATAAATACGAATTATTTTATTTTCAAAACTGCAAGATTTACATAAACTTGGTATTTTACAAAATAAATAAGATATTCTATTTTTAAAGGGATTTTGATAGTGTAATTTTTAAATGAAAATAAGGAAATCTGAATTACAATTGACAAATTCTCAATTACAAATGATAAACTGAATTATAATTAACACTTTTGAAATACAATGGACTAATCTGAATTCCAATTTACGCCTTCTGAAATTAAATTAACTAATTTGAATTATATCTTATAATTTCTGACTGTTTTCAGTTACAATTAACACTTTCTGAAATACAATTGACTAATCTTAATTACAATTAATGTTTTCTGAAATATATCTTACGCTTTCTTGAAAAAGGTACCATTTTCTATGTACAACAATAAAAGTATGTACAGAGTGGTTATAAATGATTTTCATCTAACCAGCTTTGGAATTTTTTTGCATGTAAGTTTATTTGTGCCGCTCTACTTTTTTGAAAGCTCTAAAGTTATTAATTAATATTAAATTGTTGTTAATTAAACTTTTATTGTTTCAACTAAGTTCCAATAATAATTGATAAGAATGTATACTTTGGAAGAAAACAAGTTTATAATTGAAGTCTATTTTCGAAGTGGGCGCTCATTAAACGGCGATTTTTTAATTTTGAGTTAAAACAAGTAGGTACCCCTATTTTTGTAAAGCGGCATGTTTTATTTTACATGGAAAATTCAAAGCTGGCTAGATGAAAATCATTTATAACCACTTTGTAGATCGAGGACCGTTTTCATAGTTTAATTTTTAAGCAGTAAGTATAGAAAAAAAAATGTTTCGATGTTGTCATGTGGGTCGCCATGATAAGTATATCTAAGGTCTTGACTCTTGGTGTTGGCAAGCTTTTGGCGGAATGTGACCTAGAACGATGCCAAAATTGCCACCGGAAGCACGTGTACCAAAACCAGGAAATAAAACTCGTCAATTTTGTTGAACTTTATTTGCCTTGGAAAAAGTCCTCATAAACCGGATACAATCCATTGAGGAAAAAGGGTACATCGAGACACTTGACCCCATTCCCGAAATAAACAAACCCATATTTGGGCGTTTTAATAAAGTGGTAGAAGACCATCCCCGGCCAATACAACGACTTCAACACCACCATCTCCTCCCCTGCTGTGAAATTCTGCAACCAACACCCTTCTGGTATATCAACATCCAGAGGATCCAGAAAATCAATTGCATAATTGTAGTCGTCTCTTGTGAGCAAATTCGTGTTCCACTTTCGTGTGGGCACTCTATAATGCAGGAAACTCTTAATTTCGCGGGCCTCCAAGGGGGTGAGACCCTCAAAAGCCCGGTTTTCGACAACCACCCCATCGGTGCGCTTGTACAGCGCCCCTCTTGGCACCACTGAAACCTCCTCGTTTATGAGATGCACGGTCGCAGACAACCGGTCCTCCTCCTTGAGTCGCTTGACCTGGGGCTCGGGGAGGGGCTCACCGAAACTCATCTCGTCTTTCTCGAGCAAAACATCGAGGACTAAAGCCGGGTCCCCTTGGAACCGCGCTGTGCACAAAGGGGCTAATTTTCTGGCGTAGTCTTTGGGTTTGGGGAGCAAACCCCAATTGACGCAATTGGTACTGTAGTAAATCACCCTGTCGTGGAGGGCGTCGCTCCTGTACCCGTAAGCCACGTAATAATCGTTATCGGTGCCACAGATGCGCCCCCAGAAGAAGATTTTCCGGAAGTGGTTCTCGTTTTGCAAAATCAGGAGCGAATTGTGGAGGATTATCCCCTCTTCTGTGCTAATAACGTGTCCGCTCTGTTCCGAAATGTGCAAACTGTCGAGAACTTCATTTAAATTCATTTTGTTTGATTTTGTTTTTGAATTTGGCGCGTCGTCACGTGATTGAATTGAGGGCGCTGCGATCGCCAGTTGACTTGACATTTTGTGAAGAGCAGCAATCGTAGGTGAATGTTGTGAAATATTTTTATTTGGAGTTGGATTTTGTGTTTCTCCCGTTGTTAATAGTGATTTTAGTCGAATTGGAGTATTTGTGGTAATGGCAATGTGAAGAAAGCCGACTAAGGTGAGAATTGCGAAAAAACTGATCCTGAGGCAGTGTCATTAATTTGCGTATAAAGGAATTGTCGTTGACCCGTGCTCGAAATTTCATGTGTTTGCGAGTTTTGACCCCCATTTTGGGGCGGAAACAAACCCCCCGCTATTGATTCCCGTTGTCGTTTGTTTAAACAATTGTTGTTATTGGTTACAGGAATCCGGAGCTCGGGCCCTACGGGTGCGAAAGGTCGCAGTAAAGGTACGTGACCTTTGTCCCGGATTTTTCCGGAAAATAGCCCAACACCTGGAACAGCTGAGTGTTCATTGTTCTCGTGACATTTCGCGAACGCATTCACACGGCAACGCAACGTGTAAAATTCTTTGTTTAAATCCATTAAACTTAACGTCATTCGGTCTGTTCATGTGCCTGAATTCAGAACACTCGGATTTCTAGCGAACAAAGGGCGTGAGTATTTTGAACAAGAATTTTTTTGCGACTACCGGTCCGCGATTCGTTTATTTTGGCTGGGCAATGACCCTCACCGAAATAAATTTCCTAATCTTGCGATGGGAAGTCGCACGAGGGATCATTGTTGCCAGCTTTCAGCTGAATTGGGGCTCTGGACAGCCACCTTGAACCACTTCAGTGCGGTCAGGTGTGCCGAAACACAGGCAATTTCATTTCGTAGAGCAGTAAACTGGAACGGTTTTATTTACTGTTCGTTTCAGACGTAAATAGGGTTTGTCATTGGAGAACGATTTTCTACTGGTCGCGGAACATTACCCCTAAAATACGAGGTTAACGTTCAGACAATCACGTTGGATTATTTAAGGCTGTTGTTTACTTGACGTATTGATGATATCTTGTCACGTGTTTGGAAACGCGGATCAAAATCATTGAGATTTCACTTGAATAACAAATACCCTTCAAAGGCTCTCTCTTATGTAACTGAGCAAAATGACTGCTAATCAGAATCTCATTGCAAAATGTTAAGTTTTTCAAAAGTCGGTCTTTTTGTAACTAATGACATGACATTTCTTGTGGTTAACTTAGACAAGAACATCAAAAAACAAATTTTATAAAATAGAAAACTTCTGCTGCTAACGTTTGTTTGCAAAATATGCTTTTATTCTTTTATTTTCCAGTCACATGTTTTGAAACGTTGATATGCACATTTATCTTGATTTTTCGGCCAACAATTATGCATTTGCATTGTTTTCAACATCTAAATCTAAATCTTCTTTTCAACAAAATTCAACGTGAATTAGAATATTGCTTTTTTTATACAGGGTGCGCCAAAACTCGCGCCCCAAAGAAAAATGCCATATAAGATAAGAACATGGAAAAATTGTTAAAAAAAATTTATCTATAAAAAATTCGAAGTTATGAGGCTTTAAAGTTTTCACTTTGACTTTATTTATTCCTGTTGGAAAAACAGTTTTTTTGCTATAGGCTATCAAAAGAGAAAACAAGGAAGCTGTATTCTAAATTGTAACTCGGTTCAATGTTATTTGTGGCTTTTATTAGCAAAATTTTTGTCCCTTTACTAAATAATTGTAAAAAAAAACATATACAAGATCATCACTATCATTAAATAGATATAAAATAATGTCAAATGTCAAAAATTAAATATAGAATTTTTTTCATCTTGGTATCTTACCTTACTTGAAAATTTGTATGTACAGTTATGTCTTCAGATTGAGTTTACAAGAGGAAAAAAAATTGTATATTTCATTTTATACCAAAATTTCAAAGGAATAACATTTTTTGCTTAACCTGAAACGAACAAATCTCTGAGTCACTGGAAAGAATAGTTAATTTTTCTCTTGATTTTGGACTTTTTAAGTCTAATCACATTAGCGGTTTAATTT